AGTGGAGGGAGAGAGAGAAATCTTAAGCAGGCTCAATGACCAGCACACAGCCAAGGAGAAGCCTGAAATCATGACCTGAGCCAAAATCAAGAGTCTGATTCAAGTAAGCCACCCAAGCGCCCCTGAAATATAATTCTTGAGTGTGTCTAAGAAATCAGAAGTGTGCTTGTTTCTTCCAAATCGAGGTGAACTCTGATGAAATAATTTTTTTTTCTCTATCTTCACCTAGAAGTTTCTTGCTGATAGTTATTGCTGTTTTTATGTGGTTGTCCATCCCCCTCATCCAACAGAAAGTTTCTAAAAAGCAGCTGTGGTTTAAGAGAGAGGATAGACTGGGGAGTAGAAGCCCAAAGATCTAGGTCATAAACAAGCCCATAAACAATGAACAAGTCACTTAACTTAATGGCTTAATGGAATTTATGTTTTTATCTCTGAGTCAAAGGATGTTGATTGAATTACTTCAAAAATCTTTTCTGACTCCAAAGTTCTAATTTTAAGGCCAAAGTAGGAATCATCACTTTCTCTCCAAATCATTGAAGTCATATGGAATGTAGGGATGACAGCCTGACTGCACGAAGCAGCACAGGACAGGTGGTCACTTAGTTTTAAAAACTGATGGGTAATGCTGGGCTTCCATGATGGAAAAGAACCGCCTTTAGAAAAGTAACAAACTCTTTTAACGTATTTAAAACAACAGGAGATTAACTATTTGATATTAGGCTGTGGTCATTTCTTAATTTCTGTTCATGTGGAGGGATGTGTCATATCAGAATAACAATTCCTAAGTTTGTATCTAACCTTTTCTTTACGGTTTAAAATTTCACGGTCAGTTCTTACCCTAAGAACATAAGTCTGAAGAGCTAGTGAAGAGTACACTGTGTCAAATGCATGTTGGAAGAAATGTTGATTTTTACAGAGAGAAAAGATCGTTCCAAAGTGCTGATTTTTCCAAACAGATTTCTGGTGTTAGGATCTAAGATTGTCATCTTAGATGACATCTAAGAGATGCCTCATAGCAGATTTACAGCTTAACATCATAATTCTTCAGATTTTATTTTCCTTTCTTTACCAGTAAATCTGAGAACTAATTAGGATATTAATTCTCATTAAGTAAAAAAACTTTTAGCCCAATATTCTAAAGATGAAAATCTACTACATACTACAAGAATAAACACTTTTTTAAATACTTCATTTTACTACGAAAGACACATCTTTCTCATGCACCAAGCTACTAGCTGGGTATTCATAGTTTAGCCTTGGAAAAGCAGCTTGTGTATTCTGATCTACTTTATTATACATGAAGTTTATTCCTCTTTTTAAATCCCACTGCACTAGCCTTTTTTGTATCCCCAAATCTCTCCAATTTCCCCACACTAAGCAGCAGTTTATAGAATCTCATTTAAGTTCCATTAATTTCCACAATAGCTTTCTAGAACTTTTGGGTTCTACTTCTGGAAGAAAAGTATATATAAGCAAATGTGTGCAGAACTAGAGAGAAATTAAAATAACTATCAGTAGAACATTCTAAAATTTCAGCCATGGGGCGCCTGGGTGGCTCAGTCATTAAGCATCTGCCTTCAGCTCAGGTCATGAACCCAGGGTCCTGGGATCGAGCCCCACATCGGGCTCCCTGCTCCGCGGGAAGCCTGCTTCCCCCTCCCTGCTTATGTTCCCTCTCTCACTGTGTCTCTCTCTGTCAAATAAATAAATAAAACCTTTAAAAAAAAATTTTCAGCCATGGATGGTACCTATAGCCTAGAATAACGCATATCACATAATAATAAAAGCCAGAATGACTCCAATAATCAGATAATAAAATGCTGGTGATAATTTTTTTTTTAATGTTGTCAACAGGTAAGGTAGCTAAGAAAGTATAAAATAAAATTTTCCTGGCATTGATTACTCTTGCATTCAGTATTTTGTGCCAAAACCACAGCAATTCTAAAAAAAAGTGTGGAAAGTTAGTGAAATTTTAAACCAATTAGATATATAAGAAGCTTAAGAGATGACAGCAGTCAAACCTACAAAAAAAAAATACACTACATAAATTGTGACATGTGTGGAAGAACTCTGTAGACAGAAATGTTTTAGGAGTGCTACAAATCAGAAGTTAAATAGTAAGAGTTCAATGCAGTTATTTTAACACCAGTACCATATTAAATTTTATTGTCTCATTGTGTAGTTATGATACCCCCACCTCAAATTCAACATGTTTAAATTAAAACAACAACAACAACAACTACCTGGCTCTTCCTCCTGATCTCTATGATATGTAAATGTCATCCCCAGTCTCCTGATAAATTGTATTATAATTCTGAGGCATCATTATTTCCTTTATGTCATCTCAGGCCCCAAACCAATTAGTTGGCAAATCTGACTGATTTTTCCTTCAAAATCTCACTTGTATCCATGCCTATCTTTCCATTCTCATGGTAGCCACCCTAGCTCTGGCCCTTTATTCAACTGCCTGACATCAGAAACCATTCCCCACTCTAACTCGGACGGCTCATTGTTACCAACTTGATTTGGATAAAATACCACCTCACCATTACATGCCAACGCACCCACATCTTAGTCTAGTTTTCAAGAGCTTCTATAATCTGGCCTCCATACATCTTTTTAGTATCATCCATGGTAACTACAGACACTCTCCGTATTAGTTAAACTGATCCACTTGCTAACTCCACACACCACTTACCATCTTCTACCTCGATGTCCTTCACTGATCCATGACTCACTTTGTCTGGGATATCTTCTACCTACCGACCACAGAGCTAAGAAACAAAGATGATTTAAATCCAACCACCTTAATGACCAACTTAGCCTAAATTCCCATACCGTGCTCTACCCTGGTAAGCCCCAGCAGAAAGTGCTTCTTCCCTCTCCTCAGAGATTTTAGACTGTCCTGCCACAAGCATACAGAGCCAGAGCTGGGTCTCACGGATCTCTGTTAACTGTGCTCACTTGGAAGACACGATAATGAATCAATAAGTGTATACTGAATCTATATAAACGAAATTAAGATCTTGGATGATGTTAAACTTGAAGGATTCGGGAGATGAAAAAAACAAGGACGTTAGAATTCAGTGTTAGATATCTCTAAATTAAGAAATATGAGACCCCAACATTTAATTTAAGATTGGAAATACTCCAGACACCTTAATTTATAAGTTTTAGAGTAGAAAGAGTGTTCTGACAATATCGCCACATAACAACCCTTAAAAGTAGATTAAAAATATAAAATTAAATGTTGGGATGCCTGGGTGGCTCAGTAGCTTAAGCGTCTGCCTTTGGCTCAGGTCATGATCCCAGGGTCCTGGGATGGAGCCCCGCATCGGGCTCCCTGCTCAGCGGGAAGCCTGCTTCTCCCTCTGCCTGCCGCTCCCCCCCCCCTTGTGTGTGCTCTCTCTTTCTGCCTCTCTCTCTGACAAATAAATAAATAAAATCTTTTTTAAAAAAATTAAATTAAATGTTGCTTAAAAATATCTACACTTTTATAAAAACTGGCTTTCCAATGAAATGAAAAGCTTCTGTTAAAAAAAGTCAGTTGTAAAAATATGTTCTTCCTTCAGAAGATTCCCTAATGATAATTCATAGAGACTTTTCAAAGAAAACTCAGATTAAACTATGCCATCTGATGCACATTGATAGTTTTTAGGAAAATGGGGTTTTTTTAAAGATTTTATTTATTTATTTGATAGAGCGAGAGAGCACAAGCAGGGGGAACAGTAGAGGGAGAGGGAGAAGCAGGCTCCCCGCCAAACAGGGAGCCCAATGTGGGGCTTGATCCCAGGACCCTGGGATCATGGCCTGAGCCGAAGGCAGACGCTTAACCATCTGAGCCACCCAGGCGCCCCTAGGAAAATGGTTCTTATTTCTATAAAGATACAGATGTGTCAAATGCATTATCATGGGACAGTGTTAAACCTTGCCAATAAAATATGCTTTAATCAACATACATTACATGACTCCTGGTAAGAAAGTTTATTTAACCACCAGAAATGCTACATCATTAGATACAGCCCCAGTAAAAAAAAGTATAACACATAACATATAACCTCTATAACTTATTAGCTCAGATAAAATGAGTTGTGTCTGAAGTACTAAAGCACGAAAAGTATGTTTCAATGAGAAATTTCAAATGGAATTCTCTTATGGTGAAATTCCTTATTTTTATCACTTGGTTACAAGGGGGCTGTGTTTATGCACATACATGTGCATGGGGTCATAGCCTGCAGAATATGCATTTTCTTCTCTCATTCTGTGGGCAGAAATACTGTGTGCCAAATTTGCCTCTGCATTATATAAATGATATGAAGAAGCCAGAATTTGTTAAAGGTAAAAAGTATTCGAGTTTGGAACCGGGAAAAGAGAAGGTAGAATGGATGCCTGCACCTTGGACTGAAGGACATTTGATGGTTGCTTCTCTGGTATCTGTCCTCCCTCGCTCTCTTTCCCCCAAAACTTTACTTTCCGTCAGGCATCCCTGTGGTTCTGAAGAAGGAGACCCTACCCTAGTTCCAGGGGTGGTACAAACTCATCAGTGATCCCAGTAATTCATATAGTCCCTTTGTGGGGGGAAGAGCCAGTCTTAGGATGATAATGACCCCCTCTAAAGACAGAATGATGAAAGGAAATTGGGTCATTGGTGACATTACTGACATTACTAATGAGCCAAAGCAGTAAATCTTGTCTAAATCCGTCCACACTTTGGATTTTTCACTGAAAGAAGTCAGTAAGTTCTCATTATCACTTAGGCTAGTTTGAGATTTTGTTTTCAGATACTGGTCAATGAGAGAATTCTAAAAGATATAAGGATAAATATATTGTTGTGCAATGATTGTAGAAAACATTTGGTGTACAAAAAATTTATCACTCTTTTTAATCTAAGAAAAATCATTAAAATCAGCAAATTCATAGAAGCAGAGATAAAAAAAAATTCACATAACTGGAAATTGTACCTAGGTTTAACAAGAGAATCATCTGAATATTTCATTTTGTTTCCTGAAGTAAAATTACTTACCTGGAAGTGCACTATGTTTGTATTCTATCTTGTGCTGGGGATTCTTCCTAAAAAAAAAGGAGAAATCAAAACTAAGACCTAGTTTTCCAATCACTAAATATTAGTAGGACTATTTAAATTAAACTAGAACAAGAACAACAACAAAAATAAACAAGAACACTCACTAACCTACAAATAAAATTAGGCCCCAGTAAGCCTCTTATTGAAAAGCATTCACTTTTTTTGTTAACTATGGTCACCATGCTGTACAAAGCATTTACTTTTTTTTTAAGAATTTATTTATTTGAGAGAGAGAGCATGAGCAAGGGGAGAGGCAGAGGAAAAGCAAGAAGCAGACTCCCTGCTGAGCAGGGAGCCCGACATGGGGCTGATCCCAGGACCGTGGGATTATGACCTGAGCCGAAGACAGATGCTTAACTGACTGAGCCACCGAGGCACCCCCCAAAGCATTTGCTTTTTAATTACAACATTTATTAAGTGCCTATTACAGTCCAGGCATATTTCTAGATGCAAAGTTATACTGGTGAACCAGACAAAAGTTTTTCCCTCATGACTTACTGGAGAAAAACAGTATGAGATGAAGTACAATATATCATATTCCCAAAATATGATATACTGTATTTCTAAAATGTCAATGCCATACATCACATATATAAAAATACAAATGTATAATAGTGTATAAAACATAGAACACAAAGTATCAAATATGTGTGTGTATGTATGTGTTTGTAATGTCTAAAAGGATACTTTTAGGGTCTTCTTGAATCCAAAGACAAAAGCATCTAAGTCATGTCTCTAAAGATCCTCAATTGTTAGGAGAAAACAAAAGTCAATTTGCATTGAGAAATTTATACGACATATTCCAAAGTCATACAGAACCTACTGTTTGGATATCTATTTTTGATTTTATGTACCTATGAGCTCTTCTATTATTTTACTAGTTAAATGAGTGTTGGGGTACACTATATATAAAGCATTCTCCAGATAATGCAAAACTGTCCAGGCAGCAAAAATCCAAAGCAGTAACTGGTCGATCATGATCCACTTGATGGGGATCTCTCTTGGGGGACTGACACAGGAGAGCTGGGGTACACTGAAAATAGGTATGTGCTGAAGTGCACAGCTCATACAAAGCTGTTGTGAGGATTCATGAAGAATACAGAGCAAGTCCTTAGTCCAAGGACGTGATAGGTTGTAAGTAATTAATGTTAGCCATTGACACATCCATCATTGGTTCAATAAATAGTCATGGGGCACTAATTATATGTCAGGCTCTGTGTCAGGTGTCAGAGACATTTCTTATTGCTAATATCTCTTCGTTTTGGGGATCACTTTTCATACACTGTGAGCCTTTAACACAGTACAAAACTGCAACCACACAGTTAATTAGGGTCATAACTCAACAGTTTCGAAAAGTGGAAAAAGATTCTACAAAAGATTGTGCATTTGGAATAATTAACCCAAATCTGACCTCTTAATGGAAAAGACACTTCAAAGTTAAGAGAAAGAAACTGGACAACTTCAATGTGGCCAAGAGAGCTGCACGTGAACAAAGCTGCAGGGACGATTTGTGGGAAGACTGACTTGTTGAATGCAGTCTTTATGAAAATGCAATTAATGCTGGACCTCAGGGGAGGAGGAACAGAAACATGAGGGACAGGGACATTAATACCAAAGTTATTCTTCATCAGTAACCTAGAAAAAGATTGTTGGTCATTTGAGAGTATTTTTGGTAACCTTTTAAAAAAATCTTTTTGTGTGAGTGTGGTAAAATTAAATACACTGGTAGCTTTTTGTTTTGAAAAAAATGTCAAACCTACTGGTAAGTAGCAAGATTAGTACACTAAAATTCCATATACCTCTGTGAGATTCTTCAAGTGTTAACAATTCTATACAGATGCCCCATTGTTGTTATTACTATTACTATTTATAGTCTTCTGAGATTTAAAATCTTTTGGTCCTTTTTAATATATATATTTTTCAGGTTCCAAGCAGTCCTAACTTTTTCCACTTTGCCCTTAATAATTAAGAAAAAATTTATTGAACAGTTAAATATGGTCTTAATTGTTTGCTACTACAGCCTCTTTCAAAGGCTGCTTTTAGAAAGTCTCAAGTAAGTGAATGTCAGTCTTTAAAAATAAGTACAGAAATAGACAGAGGGCCTGAATAGAATTTTTCCAAAGAAGACATATGGATAGCCAACAGACACATGAAAAGATGCTCACCATCACTAATCATCAAGGAACTGCAAATCAAATCCACAATGAGATATCACCTTACACCTGTCAGAATGGCTAAAATCAAGAACACAACAAATAACAAGTGTTGGTGAGGAGTGGAGAAAAAGGAACTCTTGTGCACTGTTGGTGGAAATGTGAATTGGTGCAGCCACTGTGGAAAACAGCATGGAGGTTCCTCAAAAATTAAAAACAGAAATACCATATGATCCAATAATTCTACAACTGGATATTTACCCAAAGAAAACAAAAACACTAATTTGAAAGGATATATGCACCCCTATGTTTACTGTAGCATTATTTATAATTGCCAAGATATGGAAGCAACCTAAGAGTCTGTTGATAGACAAATGGATAAGGACGATGTGGTGTGTGTGTGTGTGTGTCTGTCTGTCTGTCTGTCTGGAATATTATATAGCCATAAATAAGGATGAGATCATGCCATTTGCAACAACATGGATAGCCCTAGAGGAAATTATGCTAAATGAAATAAATCAGACTGAGAAAGACAAATACCGTATGATTTCACTCATATGTGGAATCTGAAAAAAATCCAAAAGAATATAAACAAACAAACAAAAGCAGAATCAGACCTATAAACACAGAGAACAAACTGATGGTTGCCAGAAGGGAGGAGAGTGGGAGGATGGGGAAAATGGGAGAAGGAGAGTGGGAGATATAGGCTTCTGGTTATGGAATCAATAAGTCATGGGAATAAAACACACAACATAAGGAATACACTCAATGATATTGTAATAGGTTATATGGTAACAGATGGTAGCTACCCTTGTGGTCAGCATAGCATAATATATAAACTTGTTGAATCACTATGTTGTACACCTGAAACTAATGTAACTTGTGTGTCAATTACACTTATATAAAAAAAAAAAGTACAGAAAATGGATCCAAGGAGTTAACAGAGACTCAAGTACAGTTTATGCACCAAATACCAGTTAAAAGACTGCTGATAACAGTTATCACCACCAGAGAGACTGAAAGTGAGAATAACTGTTTTTAAAGGCAAATGGGGTGAGGGCAGGGGTACTGATTCAACCTTAAGGTTGCAGAAGATAGTTCCCCCTTCTCTATTATCTTGAAACACATCCACAATGGCACTCACAAACCCCACCTACATAATCTAACCTCACATACTGCCTAGGAAAAAGGCAAACCACTTCAGAATAAAAGATAAGGAAAAAAGTTTTACACTTGTATATTCCGAAAAGGAAGAGCAGAAAAGTGTATTTTGAAATTTTGTACTCAGAAAAGGAAAAGATTTTCAGCTCCATGGACAGATTTTCATCTGCCTTGTGGGGGGGGGCGGGGATGTTTCTAAGGCTCTGATAATAGTTTCCATCCTTTCCTAGGAGAACTTGCTATTTTCATAAAAAGACAAGTATACAGGCGCCTGGGTGGCTTGGTCAGTTAAGTGTCTGCCTTCGGCTCAGGCCATGATCCCAGGGTCCTGGGATCGAGCCCCACATCGGGCTCCCTGCTCGGTGGGAAGCCTGCTTCTCCCTCTGCCTGCCACTCCCCCTGCTTGTGCTCTCTCTCTGTCAAATGAATAAATCTTTTTTTTTTTTTTTTTTAAGATTTTATCCATTTATTTGACAGAGAGAGAGACAGCGAGAGAGTGAACACAAGCAGGGGGAGTGGGAGAGGGAGAAGCAGGCTTCCCACCAAGCAGGGAGCCTGATGCGGGGCTCAATCCCAGGACCCTGAGACCATGACCTGAGCCGAAGGCAGACAGTTAATGACTGAGCCATCCGGGTGCCTTTGAATAAGCCATCCGGGTGCCCTTGAATAAATAAAATCTTAAAAAAAGAAGAAAAAAAAAGACAAGTATAAGACTAATGGAAACCAGAAGAAACTAGTCGATTTAGTACTTTTCCACCTTTAGAGGCCAAACTTCCAATTTAGTTTTAACAAATTCGTCTACTAGAATGTGGATTTTTTTTAAGGTAAAAGTTTTTTTAATTAAGCTTTTACATGAGTTTCCAAAATGATGGAATATTTTATATTTTCCTCTTTAATAAGAAAAAAAGAAACTTTTTTTGCTAACTTTACTATTATTTCTTAAAATAACTGTTGAAAGGAAACTGACAGAATATTGTCAATATTATATTGACACAATACAAACTGAAGTTTAAAATTCTCATTGGTTGGAGCACAAAAAGCAGTTTCTAGTAATTTCTAGACTGATAATAAGTGTTTCTGAGTTCATGTTAATAGTTAATATTTTTATAGTAATCCTAATCCATGGATCCTGATGTTTTCAGAACCCTATCCTTTGAAAGGCAGTTTTTCTACTGGAAATATGCCAGAGAATGCCTATTCTCATTAGATTGAAAAGAATGTCAATGTGCTGAAACTGCTTTGTATTCACACTTACAAAGGTAATAATCAAAGTACTCACTGAATCTTTTTATGCAAACCTAACACTAAAACATGTTAGAATTTCCTGCCATTAACAATTCATGTTACTTCCCCAGGAAACAATGAAAATGTAGCAATCATATTAAGCAGACCCCACCGCAATCAGGTTCCTGAGATACTGACTGGTCAGCATCACCAGACACTTAGCTCTAGTCAGTCAATCATGCAAGGAACACAGGAACACACAGTCCTTCACAAATGCTTAAGAGATAGATGCCACTGTGTCTTGGATCTGTTCTCATCTGGCTGGATGAACTTTGGATCACTGGCATTGCTATGGAAGGGGCTCAGGTTTCAGGCTCAGAAGAGCTGATTAGGAATTCAAACTATACCTTTTATTGGTTGTGTGATTCAGGCAAAGTCCTATAAACCAA